TATTAATCAGTTTAATGTGTAGAATTGACGAGTGATTTTACCTCAGATGAGATCCTTGAGAGCTGGTCCTAATTTTCTTAGGCGTTTCAGATGTTCCAGGTGGCACATTGGTTTTTGGGTGTAGTAGTGATGTTTGGCCAGCAGGTGTCACAGGTGTATCATACAAGGCAGGTCTGGTGTGAGCTGGCTCAGCTTCCTGAATGAGCTCTGTGAATCAGACACTAACCCAGACAACCCCTACCCATGACTACTGGGCAGAGCTGCCAGGATCACAACAGATGAGGCAATACATTCAAAGAATTAGAAGTGCTCCCTCCGATCTCTGCAGACACTCTGCGGGGCTGCGCACAAAATGGTGCTGGGGGTGGAGTTGGTGGGTGTTTCCAAAGGTAAGAGTGGGCAGCAGCTACACTGAACAGTTTTAAAAGAAAAGGAATAGTCTGTTGATAGTCTCTAACCAGGCAGGGGTCTGTGACCCAATCCCGCTGCTACAAGCACAGAACTAGAAAGGTGCCTAGCGCAGGTACCTTTCCCTCTGACTCAGTGCTTCTGGCAGTGGTTACAAGAACCTCTGCTGCATGAGCCGCCTGGTCTACAGGCTCCCTGCACAGCCACTGTAGGCAGGTGGTCGGTCACCTGAGCAGGGGTCAGACAGTTACTGGGGGATTTGGGCTGCGCGTGGGCTCTGCAGGGCGGAGAAACTCACCAGCAGCCACCCGCATGCATTAGGTTTTGGTCAAGCCAGTAGCCCCAGTTGAGGAAGGTGGGGCTCAGATCCACGAGGTTGGGACAGAGCCGCTAGGGGGTGCTAGTGAGGCCGGCTACGCAGGCTGTGGGTAGGAGTCACAGGGAGTGTGGGGTCTTTTTGTCAAGGGGAAACCACTTGTTAAGATCAATCCACGTGAGTCTGTTTAATGGGTAATAGGGACTTATCAAGATATAAGTTGAGGAAATACACTCAAGAATACAAAACCGAGTAAACAACTGATGTAGTCCTCTGTTCTGACTGGGAGCGAATACACCTGGCGGTTACATCAGACCAGGAAGCAGGCAGCAGGGAGGAAGGGGCTTGTGACCCTTCTCCCTGACCTTTTAAGAGGTCACATACGCCGGGCAGTGGTGGCGCACGCCTTTAATCCCAGCACTCGGGAGGCAGAGCCAGGCGGATCTCTGTGAGTTCGAGGCCAGCCTGGACTACCAAGTGAGTTCCAGGAAAGGCGCAAAGCTACACAGAGAAACCCTGTCTCGAAAAACCAAAAAAAAAAAAAAAAAAAAAAGAGGTCACATACAATGATAAGAAGCACAGCCTCCTTCGGGCCCTATAGCCCAAGGTCATGGGTGGAGCAAACAGCACTACAGAATAATATTTAAATTTCCTCTATCATTACTTTCAACAAAAATTTTGGTAAAGATGAGAGTTAATTATGAGATAACCTCTCCCCTCTCCCTCCTTCCCTTCTTTATCTCACTTCCTTCCTAACTATAAAATCTTTTTCTGACATCCACAGTGGCTTTGTCTTCCTTTTCCTTAGCCAGCTCACCAACTTGTTTGTAATCCACTTCCGTTTAGGCTGTCTGGCTGCTTAAACTTTCCCTTTCCTCTCAGAGACATCGAGAAACAGCTTGTCCAGAAAGAACCTTCTAATTCAAATGAGCTAGGAGAAGGAAGGAGAAGCTTCAGGACTCGGTTCTTAATATTTTTTCCCCTTTGACATCTGTGGGAGGCAATGCTGTTGCTGCCCAGACCTAACATCCTAAGCAGTACAGAAGAGACAGTGTGAAAGGCTAGAGCAAAAGGATAGCAGAACCCCATCCCACGCCCTCCATGTGCACCTCCATGTGCATGTTCCCCAAGAATAGAAGAATACAAACATTGATGTCAACCATTTCCTGAAGCTGACTTTGTCAGTATAAATTTGAGCAGTGTTATCAAATATCTGTGCTTCTGTTTCTCAAGTTGGCATTATATACTGCCCAACAGCTATATAAAGTATTAATTTATTTAAATAGGGGAGTATATTTATGCTGACAAATTTTCTCACTAAATAGGAAGAAAGTGCTACAAACAATAATGAAATAATTTTTATTGTATAAAAAGAAGCCAGTGGTAGAGGAGAAGAATGTCATTCTAGCTGATAACTGAAAGCTTTAAGATGCTATATCACAACATGGTACTCCCATGGGTCTCTCAAGGACATAATTACCGGATTAGGATTTGCATTTCTATAGACTTGCAAAAAATGCAAATAACTCTAATTCCTATTCATTCTTCCTTTACTGTGGTTTTATCTTATAACGCACAGGAAATAAACAGCATCTATATGAGGGCAAGTGCAAAATGTGAGGACATCACACCAATGTTTATGGCTTCAAAGAAAGCTTTCACAGTCCATAATCATAGCTTGCATTTAGAAATATAATGAAATTTTAATTTCAATTAGAGGATATCTCTACCATAAGAAATGCCTTAAATACACCAAATCCTTATTGTTGTTCCTTGTACTTCCTCATAAGAATTGTTCAAATATGAAGTGAATGGAAATGATATTCATTGTAGCAGAGAACCCGTGGGGAATGAAGTAGCTCTACTAAATATTGGAAAAACTGTGGAATGTAACAGGTTTTAAATTTATTATTTCACTAAACAGTATTTCTGAGGTGGGAAGAATGCCTCCGGTTTTCAAAAGCTCATATTGAATTTTTACTTTAAAGCAAATACTTGGGAGGGTCTATTGGGAGATTGCTCTACATGAATGACCAATGTCCACATAAAGCTGTTTTTTAAAGGAGTGTAATAGAAGTATTGTATTAGTTCACTATATGCAGGCCTGCATCATACAAAATTCAATATGTTAGAAACTGTAGGAGTAGTTAAAAATAATCTTTTGGGAAGGAGGCTTACTAGACCTTTTATTTATCCAGAAATCATGTCTTCAGTGATTGTGTTCTTAAGCATACAGCAGTTATAAAATATTCTGTAATCCTATTTCTTTGGAAGAACTTTGTGCATGAAACTGAGAGGCAGCAAACTTCTATAATGGTGGATTCAGATTGTTATTTCAGCACTATACATGATAATTTTATTGCTCTTTTCATACTAACTACAAGAGAAAAAAAGTATTGCAGCCTCTTGACATTGCTAACTGTCAGTTTAAAAATGGAAGTAAATGGGTCTTGAATGATGGCTCCACGGCTAAGAACAACCGTTGCTCTTACAGAGGATCTGGGTTTGGTTCTCAGTACCAACACAGCAGCTCACAAATGTCCATAACTCCAGATTAGGGGATCTGATACCCTTTTCTGACATTTGTGGACAGAAGGTTTGCATATGGTGTACATACATGAATGTAAACAAAAACACTTACACACATAATATAAAATAAATAAATCTTTAAAACATTGAACACAGAAGGGAAGGTGACTGTGTAACAGTGATGGACTGTACATGTAAACAGGTTATCAAAACATTTTGAAAGATATTGCTATGGTTAGATGTGCTGGCATATGCTTTTAATTCCAGCACTTGGGAGGCAGAGGCAGGAGGAGCTTTCTGAGTTCAAGGCCAACTTGGTATACATGGCAAGTTCTAGGCCAGCCAGGGCTGTAAAATTTTAGTGCCTCAAATATATATATATATATATTAGACAGTGTGTATATGTATTTAAGTGGGAGATATGATCCACTCATATGAAAAATGTCATGTTTATATGCATGTGAGATAAAAATTAATATATAAGAATAAATAAAGCCAGAGGGAGCATGGTTCATAGAGATTCAGTTGAGGCCTTGATCACTTGGGAAAGAGCACTTGTTTAGGAGCTACATTTGATTTTGGGACTTTGTTTAAGTTCTGTGACCTTGTATATATCACTGAACTCTGGAAGCTTCCTCATTCCTAATCTCTGAGAGATACATTACCTTCCATATAGCTTAAGAGGGTGGTTATTAGAAGCATTTGTCATTCAAACCACAAACTAAACACTGCTTGCACTGTGCTGCCTCCGTTCCATCAGAGTGTTGTACATGAATTTTAAAAGGTACATAAGTGCATGCCAATTCTCCATTAACCCATTAGGATCTTGAGGCCAATGACCTGGTCATATCAATCTTTTATCTCTAGTACTTGACGTAAAGGCTGGTGCACTGTGCACGCTTAGAAAATTAATTCATTGCATCAGTAAATCATGTTGAAATTATAAAGGTCTATACATTGGTGCTCAAAATTAAAATTTTCCATCTTTATGTCAGCCTTTCCTATTGCATGGAAATTCTCATTGCCTTTGGCATTTCTTGCTAAGTGAGCTAATTGAATAAATACTACCATTTTCAATATGGTGAGCATAGGTTGAACTTTAATATTACCTTATAATAAGTAATAAAATATTAAAATAACACCTAAACACCTATGATTTACAGGCAGATTGCAAAAGTAGTAGTTTTTTGCTTTTGGTGACTCATAAAACATATGAGTGTCACAAGGTATTATTGTGATCGAGGAGGAGGAAAAAAGAAAAAGAATACAGTACAGAAAAACTGTCATCTATTTTCTATCTACTGTATACTGAGTGTTATTTACAGTTTTTTAGATAAGAAAACTGTGACTCAGAAATTAGGTGTCATATTTAAGTTCACATATCTGATTGGATGCAGAGCTTCCCAAATAAGTATGAGAGCATATCACTGAACTCTTTATACTACTCCAAATACATGACAATTTGGTATAAGCTGATTTAAGCTTTGTTGGAAAGAATTGTCTACAAGCCTCAACTGTTTATTCTGCTATAGCATGCATTTTAGCAAGAAGAGCTTGAGGAATGCCATGATGAGATGGATAGAGTGCAAGGGTTCATCCTCAAATATACGGACTTTAACAACCTGTATCTAATATAAAGCACCTCATTCTCTGGGTTCCTGTTGTCCACTCCTTTATTTTGCTTGCAGAAGCAGTAACACACAGTCACACACACACCAATACTCCACACCACTATCAGACAAAGTACTCTATTTCTGAAATAAATGTATTTTGTCTGTGAGATAATAAAATGTCCAAAGTAAAACGAGTTACTGTAGCAATCTTAATCAAAACACACTAATTACTGAAAACCAGGTTATTGTCAACTTGGCCTGTTTTACTAAACATAAAGTATTATAGTGCATAATTCAGAAGCCAAGACTATGACCATGGCATTATATAGACAGAATATAAATATTTACAAACACATGCAATGAAAGGTCAGAATGTAAGTGTTCAGTAGTATAGGTAAAGGAGGAGTAAATAGTGCTAAAATGAAGAAGAGAGTGACGAAATTTAGGTACAACAAGATTAGAATTAAATAATCTAAAGTTAATAGCTTACTCAGTAAGTGAAGTCACATGCCTGCCACTCCACCGTTCAAAGAGCAGACAATAGAAGAAAGTTCAAAACGTTTATGGTGCTGGAATGAAATCCATAGCTCTATCCATTCTAGATAAGCATTATGCCACTGAGTTTCTCCTTGAGCCCCAGAAGAGGTGCTTGGAAGAGTTGGTTTATGAAGAACTTAGAAAATGTCTGTCCTTGATAACAGTTGGCCACTTTCCTCTTTGAGCTTGGAAGGAAAGCAGCAGCCAAGGTGAATTAGACAGTCCCGCTGTTATTCCCCCAAAGAACTGCCACAGATGGGGCCGTCAGTAAACATATGGGGCAAATACTAAATGTCAGGGATTCTGATCCTCCAAATGCTGTAATTCTTCCATCTGAAAACATAGAGAAAATGATTTTCATGTGATTATAGAGCTGAGCTTTTCTTGTTACAGTATTGAATCCAAATATGTGGTAATTTATGTCTCTGGACTATCCAGTTTCTGGGTCCTGGTGCTCCAGACAACATCAGGGATGCATGGTAGGATCCCTCTAGTGGCATGGGTCTCAGGCTGGACCAGCCATTGGTTGATCACTCCCACAATTCTGCATCACCTTTAACTCCAGCACATCTCATAGCAGAACAAATTGTAGGTCTAATGTCTAAGGTGGATGGGTTGGTGTCCCAGTTCCTCCAATGTAAGTCTTGCCTGATCACAGGAGATGGCCAGTTCAGGCTAAGAATCCCCTAGTGCTAGCTAAGACTCCTAGCACTATCGCAAGACTATTTTTTGCTCAATAAAACACTCAATAAAGTTATTGATCTCACATTAACTTAATGTTTTTGGGTCAACTGTACTACAGGATATCCAATTATAAAATATAATTTTTAATCAATTAAGGTTATACTTATACATACATGCAACAATAATAATAGAAAAAGAGTCAGGGGCATGGGCAGGGGTGGAAAGAGGGTATGTGAAAAAAAGCTGAAGGGAAGAAAGAGAAGATGTAAAGTGATACAATTTTATTTTAATTAAAATGCATAAAAATAAAGATAAAGGTGAAATAAGAGTATTATAAGATTTCAAATATAATAAATATATGACATAGGAAGAAGAAATAAATATTTGGCAATATTTTACTATAATTTAATATTATGCTGGAATTCAAACGCTGCACAGACATACGAGTTATGTCACTGTCTAACAAAAGCACATCAAACAGAAAGATTCCTCTCTCCCTTGTGCACGTAGAGATGATCATAATGAAGAGCCATTATAAATTGTTATAAAATCTGATAGGCATTCTGGAAACCCACAGGTCTAAGTGATCAATGAAGGGCAACAAAGCCTCACAGAAGAAACTGGCTTGTTTTGTATTCTGAAATCTAAGTAGTGGCATCCACTACACAACTCAATTTAAATATGGGTGGTAGGTCAACAGCTAAAGGTGCCAAATAATTCCTAGGATATTTGTGGTGTATATTACACTCATGAGTTCTGTTATTAAACTATAATTAAAGTAAGTAAATTACAATTTTAAATTGTTATGTTTTCTTGAACCAATTATTACTTTTTTATTTATTCTTCTCTCATACATCCTGACCACAGTTTCCCTTTCTTCCACTCCTCCTAGTTCCACCCCCATGCCCCCCACTCCACTCCCCTCTCCCCCAGATCCACTCCTCCTTGGTTTCCCTTCAGAAAAGAGCAGGCATCCCAGGGATATCAACCGAACATGGCATAGCAAGTTACAGTCAGACTAGACACAAACTCTCATGTCAAGGCTGGGTGAGGCAACACTGGAGGATGAGAAGGGTCCCAAGAGCAGGCCACAGAGCCAGAGACAGTCCCCACTCCCACTGTTAGGAGTCTCACAAGAGCACCAAGCTACAAAACATTAACATATATGCAGAGGACCTAGCTCAGATCTATGCAGGGTCTGTGATTTTTCCTTCTGTCTCCACGAGCCCCTATGAGCCCAGGTTAGTTGATTTTGTGAGTTTTCTTGTGGTGTCCTTGATCTCTCTGGCTACTACAATTCCGTCTCCCCTCTTCCGTGGGGTTTTCCAAGTTCTGCCTAATGTTTGGCTGTGGGTCTCTGCATCTACTCCCATCAGTTACTGGATGAAGTCTCTCTAATGATGACTGGGCTAGGCACCAATCTATGAGTACAGCAGAATATCATAAAGAAAAGTCAATGAAATGACTGTTACATGCTTTAACAATTGATAATTAGCTTTCTCCCTCAAAATAATAAATGCATGATTATGAATGAATCACAGAAATACAAAAAGCATGTGAGATAGCAAAGTATAGATAAGGCATGGTCTCACCAGAGATAGCATTGCAGTAATTATCAGATGTCTTTCCTTTAAAGAGCCCATGACAGGACCGGTCACTTCAATGTAGACTTTGGGTTCATCTCACACTTTGGGTGTTTATCTTCTCCTTGAGTATCTGAAATTTATTTTTGTATTTCCCTATTGAAGAAGTCACCATTTCACACCCATGTGTACCAGTTTTCATTGTGGGATATTAAATACCTCCCTTCTCAATTTAGATTTTCTCTGAATAAGGGGATTTAGGGTTCACAACTTGTTTCCAAACCTAAATTTGAGGAGAACATCATACATGATTTCTTATTGCTAAAATCCTTCTATTTTAAGTGATGCTTAGAGATGAAGTGAGCTTTCTTGATTATGGGGCATGGTCTCATAATCCGACCAAACAATGCTATATCCCACCCACCAATGCTACATAAGACCTTTTCTTTTTCAGAATGTTTAAGTTCCTGAGCCAGCAATTCATCATGCAATAATTATGTACTCAGTGGGAGGCAATTCTGAGAAATCACTGCCAGCTGATTTCTATGACAGGAAGTTCTTAACCATGTTAAGCACAGAATGATCTGCTCTACAAGAAATGTCTGTGACTTTCTTTTCACACATAGTGACTTCTCTGGAAGTTTGTGAGTAATGCTGGAGAGAGTTCTTTTAATTGTGTCAAGGAGTCACAATGAAGACTGTGTAGATGCAGATAGGCTTACCAGTATTTGATATTTCCTCCATATGTGAGTCAATCTGATTTGTTTATCAAGTGCTAGAGACAGGAACTAAAAAGTAATGATGCACTACAGAAAACTTTCCTGGCTCAGATTCATACAAGTTTTCTACATCTATTAATCTACAATGGCTGGGTCATAAGTGCATATTCCTTTAAATATTACTTTTGAAAATGTATGTTTAGGGGGCTGGGGAGATAGCTCAGTTGGTAAAATGTTTGCATTGTAAGCACAAGGACATGGGTTTGACCCTCAGAAAAAGGCTGGGTACAGTAGTGTGTGGTTTTAATCCCAGTTCTGGGAAAATGGAGATAGGAAGATCTTTGATCAGTCAGTCCAGCCTACTTAGTAAGTTTCAGGCAAGTCAAACACACACACACATACTATATATATATGTGCACATGTTAGTATGCATATACATAATAAAATTTCAACAAATTCCATAGGATTCCTTCCTATAATTAGTAACAGTTTCCAGCTAATCCTGGGGTATTATATGTGAGGATACTATGTGTACAAACAAGCATAGTTAAAGTTTTCCATAAATTGAAGCACTCTATTAACATAATGTTTCAGTTCTCTTTTGCTTTTCATGTTTAAAAGTTTACTTTGATAGAATATTTTGGGAATCAAGTGTAATAGTTATCTCGTTGTCAATTTAATACAACACAGAATCACCTGTGAGGAGAGTCTCAATGAGATATGGTCTATGTTGAGTTAGCCTATGGGCATGCCTGTGGGGATTGCCTTAATTAAGTTAATTTATATATCAAGAACTAGCCCACCCTGAGTTGCACCATTGACTGGGGATGGCATCTTGAACAGTATGGGAGTGGAAAAACAAACGAAGCTGAGAACAGGCATTTGACCAGGCGAACATGGATGCATTCATTGCTTTGTCTTCTTGACTGTGGATGTGTTGTAATCAACTGTTGAAGTTCTTGCCTTGACTTCTGCACAATGATGGACTGTGGTCTGGAATTGTAAGCTGAAATAAATCCCTTTCTCCCCAAATCTAATTTTTGTCAGGGTAATTTGTCACAGAAACAGAAGCGAAAGTAGAAACAATGGTATATTAGTGTTTGTGTGTGATGTATTTCATATATATGTATATATATACACATATATACATAGTAAATGCAATTTAAAAATAAAGGTAAAGCAAAACATCAAATGGAAATATACTGGGTGGTTGCTAAAGGAAAGTATTAATATAATAATAGTAACAAAATTTAACATTTGTTAGTGGTTTTTATGTATATGGAACTAATTTGTGCTAATAAGAATCCTACATAATTGATTAAATTGACTTTTATGTAAATAATGAAATTGTACTTTTGTTTTCTATTACGCTTCCTAACTCTTTTCAAAGGGTGCATTTAAGTAAAAACTGCTTCTCCTTTGTTCACAAAAACTTGTAAAGCAGCTTTGTTATTGATTTTACACTCTATCCAAAAAGGTTATGTTTCTCTTGTTTCTCCAAAATCATCCTTTAACTTTTCAGGGTGAACAACATATAAATACTCTTTTCTATTTAGATACCATTTACCTGATCTCCCAAGGGGCTGTTGGACACCTAATAAGCACAATTGGCACAATGCATCAGCTACACAGCATGGGCTAGAATTACTTCTGCTTGAGCTTGGGCAACTTAATTTTTCTGACTTTAAGCTAGGGGCAATGATAGTATTATCTCAGAGAGGTATTTGGACAATCAATGGGCTAATATAATGCTTGAGTAGAATAAGGCCTGGCATAATTTCTTATGCAGATTGACAGATTATGCCTATAGTTTACAGTAGTTTTCTATGTTATGGCAACTAGTAAATATGACAATTTCTTATACAAAGCTATACATCATGATATACGTATGCCAAATGACTGAGTCATTGAATAATTGCAAAGCTGAGAGCGGACAGCTGAAATCTCGAGGAAATTCAGCTAAACAAGGAACAGGCTTGCAAAGCATGATGCGAATTAATTTTAAAAACACATTGAGATAAATGGAAATTATCAATAAGAGAAAATGGAACCATCTGGAAAAAAAGAACTGAGAAATATTAGCCAGAGATAGGAAAGATGTCTCTAGAATGAGCAGGGGATGAAGCAGAAATGCAGACAGCAGAGGAAAACGAGAGAAAGATAAAAAGTTGGAAAACTGGTGTGAGAACAGAGTTCCACAGGAAGATTTAAAACAGTAGTTTAAACAGCTCAGCGTTTAGGTTGGCACCAGAAACCAGCCTCAGATAATAGCAGGCAGACAAGCATGAAGTCGCGATGAGCGTCTGCTCACAGACTATTTGGGACTCACTGATGCGGCCATTTCACAAGAGATGTCAAAGAACATTTAAGGAGAAATGGAGGATAGTGTACACACAGGATTTTTTAAAATGTTTATCGTGATATTTACTCATCACCATAACATATGAAAATATTGTAAACTATAGGCATGATCTTTCAAAATTTTGTTTAAATTGATATATATATATATATATATATATATATATATATATATATAGCCACATTAGATCAGAAATATGTGGAGAGGATACTTCTCAGCATCCAGTTTTATTTCCCTGAAGCCAATTCTGCTTGCATGCCAAGTAGATGTTGGAAAATTTCCATTGACTATTACACAAATTTCAAAAAGCCAAAGCATTGAATCAGAGGATAGTTTATGGCCCATTAACAATACATTCGCTTCTCAGAACTGTAAACACGGCCTTATGGATCTTAATGTAATTGTTTAGGATGAGTGTGTTGGCAAGCTCTGTTGGAGTCTGTTAACACAGTCTGGAAAGCAACATGTTTTAAGCAAATCTGCAAAATGTTACCAACTCATTAAGCTAAGCGCTTTATGGCTCAGTGTTCTAAAGCAATTTTGTGAGACACTTCTGAACAAGGCTGTATATTCATTTCTGGTTCTGTCATGATTGATGTGCATAGGAGGGGCCACTGTCCTTGTCACATTAGGCTGGCATGTCATCGTTTGTTGACTTTTGCCTAAGAATTCTTTATTTTATCCTGCACACAAGTCAATAGTGCAGGCAGGCATCTATGCACATCCTGTGGAAGAGATGCCGCTATATTTAAAACACAAAGATACTTCAAAAGCCACATTCCATATATGCAATATCATATTAACAGACACCTGATTTCCTACACATGCTTTTAAATTTAGCTTGTTATCGATACCTGGAATTAATTAGAAGGTTGTAAGAGATCACTGTAGTCCAACCTGTACTTAGTGAAGCAACACATTCAATAGCAACTCCAGGGGATAGACTGAAGTCCTGTACCTATAACATGAGGTTTCATGATTCAGTTGGAATGCTCTCAGTTGCAAACTGAAAAGAAAGCAAAACAATTCAAACAAGAGGAGAATTAATTCTCAATACCGAAACTTCAGTGGTTTGTCATTGTAGCCTATTGGTTCAGTATTAAGCTCTGTCACATTTCTTATCCCCCACCCACTTTCTTTCCTATATTTTTTTCCTCTAGTTCTGGGAATTGAACCCAGAGACTAGTATCTGGCTGGCATGTACTCTACTACCAAGCCACATTTTCACCCTCTCTCTTTATCTCTAAATCTTACCATTATACTCCCCTCCCACCCCCACGATGGCCTTTTTCCTCCTCTGTTTTTCTCTGCAATGCCACTCAGGGTCTCAGTGCTACATACTAACATTTCTATGGCCAGGTTAAAGGGCACTTTGGTTCCCAATGGTTCAAGCCAATGCTCTACATCTGAGTATTTTACACTTAATTGCATCACAGATTTGTCTCTAAGTGAGGATGGAAGAGATGAATGCTCAAGTTACCATACTAAGTGATGAACCCAAGTTGACTCAACAACCTCTCAGAGCTGACCTGAGTACTTTTCATTATTTTTACTCTCTTCATCTTTGATAATACATTGAGACACATCACATTCTTGCCTAGTCAGCTGAGACCCTCTTTCTAATGATACTAACCAACACAGCATCTATTCAGATTGGCAGTAAGGCTTTCTTTAGAACATTCACTAGAGATGTCTCTTTTTTTTTCTAGTTTTTCCCTTTCAAAATCATTTTCCATGTTGTTATTAGTGTGATTAACTTTAAATGCGTATTTCACTCTACCCCCACCCCACATCAACCTATTGTTTCTTCCATTCAAGATCTGTCTATTCTGTTTCCACCTCAAATTTTACCTTTCTTGTTGAGATCATCTGATACCTGTTACTAGCCCATAATTTCTTCTGCCTTCATTTCTCATTACACCAGATCTAACATGCCCCTGTTTTTCACTAATAGTGACTATCTAAAGGATGCAGACCACATATTATCCATTTTGTATTGTAAAAATACTGAGCATAATATATTGTCCCAGATAAGATATTAATAAACATCCACCAAATATAACTTCTGCAGTGCTGAATAATCCAATATTAATAGTCGATGTTTTAATGGTACAATGTTGGCAAAATTGCTCAAGCAAAGACAAATATATGTCTATGTAAGATTTTATATCTGCAGGAGGGTCTCATCCAGATGGCAGCAGGAGATAATTCTATATAATTATTTTGCATGTTTGTAAATTTTATGTGACAATGGCTAATTTTATTCTGATCTGTTTTTCATTGAAAACCGATAACCATGAAATACAATGATAAAGCCTCTCCTTGGAACAAAAGTTTGTTTTCTTTATGGTATATTATAAATGTTGAGGCTTCCTAAGCTTAAATATTCTCTTCTGCACTGCATGCGCAAGCAATAAACAACTTTGTCCATCTCAAAGGTCTTCAGGAATCTGGGACATAGGACAACCCCTGTGAGGATGTGGTGATATTCTGGCTGCTCCTACTGTTGCAAACAATACCTTTGCCTCAGACTCAGGTATGTGTGCCTTCAGTTAGCAGCATTCATAAATCTGCGGGTAGGGTAAAATCTCAGAACTCCCCAAATTCTTAGCCTGTGCCACAAATAGGGTCAAAAGCATATGTTTACTTCTACGACTTGGATTTTTGCAATGGCCTATTCCATGTCAAACTGAATCTGATGGAGTTCCCATCTTAGTCTTGGATGATCTCCTTAACAGCATTTTAATTGCCTTTGATAGATGTTCTAGTTTGTTTATAAAATCTATAAAGTTTAGTAATAGTCAACAAAAAGAAAATTTGACAAGTGCCTTGAATGAACTAGCATATTAAATCCTGTGCTCTGTTTACCTTTAATACCACCCCATATCCAGGGGTATGAGGAAAGACTGCCAGGTCTTTCTTAATCTGGCATTCTCACTTTCTACTATACTTAATTACAGTTTTATTTCTAGAGAAACATTGCATATTAAGCTTTCTTTCTTTTATATTGGCTGCTGATACGATAATATTGCCACATAATTGATGATGCAATATAAACCTTTTATACTATTATTTTATGACCTCTCAATTTAATTTTGTATACCAGACCAAGAAAGATTTCAAAATGGAAATTTGATGAAATTGTTTCTGAAACACCCATCACTGACTCCCTCTGGCCTCTGGATAAATTCTGTGCTTCAATCCAATAGCTGTATTTAAAAAGACTTTCAATGACAGTCAGCGTATTAAATATGAAGAAGGGAATTTCTTTCCTGGACATAATTTTGGGGGTTAGGCTATGAAAACTGGAATGGTACCAACTGAGGGAACCATGTCCCTCATCCTTTGCCACTTCACTAAGACTGTCTCTCATCCACAATGTCCTGGTCCTCTATAACCTAGTTGTGTTCCATGAAACAAGGAGAAAGGAGAGGAAAGATAGGCTACCTTTCTCTTAAATCTACACATATAAATTTGTTCAGATCCATTCTACTTTTACTCTATCAGTTGTAAATTAGACCAGTATGGTAATACCTGTTTGCAAGGAAGGTGGAAAATTTGAAGTGTGCTCTGTGTATTCTGCAGGCCCAGCTGAAAGTTCAGTTTAATGTCTACAAAATGATGGAGAATGCAGAATGGATTGTTGGCACTGGTTTCAGCTTTTGCCATCTTAAATACATAGACTATTCATAAATTAGCTCTTGTTTTTTCTTTAACAATAACAGATAGTACCACAACCCCATGAAAACATTACCAAAATACACTACATATTGTAACATTGCTTTTGTTTAAAATGTGACTTCCTTAACTGGACAAGAAGTTTTTCAACAACTGCGACTGTGTTTGACTTAAGTATATAAAGGGCACTGTTTAACAAAATGGTTGCTTCTAACCATTGAGTGAAAATGATTGAATGATTAAATACAGTGCTGAAAAAGTACTGCATTTTTTCACAGTAACACCCACATTTTACACAGGAAGAAACTTGGACTTAGACAATTAGACAGCTGGAGCAGCGTGGAGGTGACCAGCCCAGACCCTCCTTATGCCTAGGACACTAAAGTCCAAGTATCTTTTCATTCCACTCTCCTGAGACACTTCCTAATCTTATAAAATTTTAAGGACATTAAAATATGCAATTAAGATCTATCCCAGTTGCATGATTCCAGATACACCAGTTCTCTTTGTTCCCCCACCCTCCATGGGAAATGAAGAAAGACTTCTGAGATGCCATCCAGGCAGGATTTCTCAGATTGTGGAAAAGATGATCAGGGGACATTTTAGTTAAGAAAACAATAACAATGTTTTATTATAGAATTCTTCTCAAGGGCTGGACACATCTGTTTCTCTGGGCCTTTTAACCAATTTCATTAATTAACAATTTCGTGCTGACTTTCAGAAGTCATCCTCTTCACACTGTAGAAACAAGAAGACTAGGAATAAATGTGGACAGCTGATTTTGTGGTACTTTCAGCACTTCTTTTCAGAACTGCTTCCACCTGGGTGGGGAGAATTGCCGCTCTTTTGCGTCTTTGCTGATGTTTTATCTTCTCACAGTCATCCTTAATACAGTTTCACAAGAATTGTATACTGATAACCAAAATTGTTGTACAGTTAAAAAAGAAAAACACTTGATAATGTGAAAACTAACCAAAAAATGGTGACAGAGGTAAAAAAGAGTCTTGAATACAAAAGGAATTGTAAGCAGTAAATTTGCATTCTTATTTCAAATATATTTTGGTTGATATACCCAAATCCATTTGTTTTCTTCCTCTTCTTCTTCTTCTTTTCTTCTTCTTCTTCTTCTTCTTCTTCTTCTTCTTCTTCTTCTTCTTCTTTTTCTCCTCCTCCTCCTCCTCCTTCTTCTTCTTGTATGTGAAGAAAAGTGAAATTCTTGTGTTTAATTAAAACACACACACACAATTGGATGTATGAAACTATGAGATGAGAAGATTTTTATGTAAATAATGGAATTTACATAAAAATACTTTAACTTTTTGATGTTTTAAACTATAATACACACACACACACACACAACACACTTGTAATTGTGTGAAAATTATCCTGTGGCAGTTAATACACTGACTTTTGCAGCTTATACACACCTGATCTTGCCAATATAGTTATTTAAAATTATATCAACTCTCTTTGCAATGTTTAATTGGAATCTTTAAATTGCTCAGGAGCCTCAAAACCTCATTGATTTCTTTTCCCTAATAAAAACTTTTGGCTACAAACCTCTAAGTGTTAATTGCTTTACTGACCAATGCTCCAAGTACTAAAAGGTTGTGAATGGACTTGATGCCAGATTCAGTTACACATTTACAAAATATTTACATGATACAATATTATATAATCCCGTGGGATTTACTTCAGGATTCTTGTACAATATTTACTTTAGGATAAAATGACTTTTTGTTCCCTAAAGCTTTTGAAATCTGGAGGTGCTGGCAGTGGTCAAGGTTGATGATACACATTAGAGGAAATGAGCTGTGCTAACTACAAAATTTAAGTTGAAACTGAGAGATGTTTTCATTTCTCTAATCTCTAGACACTCATCTGAGTGGATCAGTCAGTCAGCTGACATAGTCCACACAAGATGTTGAATCCTGAATCACTGACAAAAAGCTATTAGTATATTTACATGTGTATTAAATGTGGATAGATGCAGAATACCTTCCGTGAAAAATTTATGATGATAGAAAACAGTATATGCTATCTAATAATTCATTATTTTTATATGTATGAGTTTTTCTTACATGTATATGTGTACTACATGCCTATGTGGTACCTGTGAATGCCAGAAGAACTAGTTGAGTCTTCCGGAACTGGAATTACAGACATGTATTATATTCTATGTAGGAGCTGGGAATCAAATCTGGCTCCCCTGTAAGAGCAGCAAGTGTGCTTTTAATTACAAGCCCTTCCTCTAGCCCCACAAAAGTATATATTCTCAATTCTGTCTTTTCTCTACATGTCTCTGTCTCTCTCTATTTCTCCCCCCGCCCCTCCCCAAACACCAAACAACAAAAAACAAAACACTGCACAAGCAGCATGTTAGCAATGGATTTTTAATTATTCCAATGGGAAGTGAGATTTTGTCCCTCTGTCAAAGAAAAAAAAACAAGATGGGGGTATGAGACAAATTTCCATTTTATTATCAACTTCCAGTCTCCAAAGGGGAGCCAGTGTAATGGTCCATGATATAAAGAGAAGCAAGATACATGACAAGAAGGCTCTCATGGCTGGTCCATCACTTAATATACAGAAGACACAATCTTCATATATTTACATTACATTTGCTTCTCATTTACAAACACAAAATTAACCTCATCCTTCAATTCATCATGAAATGAAATTACCAAATGAATTCAAATACTAAGCAGAAAACCAGAGCCTTTCTCTCTGGCTCCAGCTCTTTCCTTTTTATATAATACTTTTTTTCTAGGCTATTCCTTGATATAACCATAGAGACACTCACACATATGAAGGTACTCACTTCCACTTCTCTGCTTCTGTATCTTTGCAAAAGCTCACCTGTTATCCTGGTGTTTGCCCCTAAATTTCAAGAAACAAAATGTAAATACCTTTCAATATTCAGAGGCCTATTTCTTTCCATCACAGTACCATGATTGATGAAAGTAATGACATGAATTAACTTTGTAAGAACAATAGTCTTCTATTGTGTAGAGACCTAAAGCAGGCAAAAATAATGACTGCTTAAATGCGAGCTGAACAAGGGCAACAACCATGGATATGCTATTGTGGATAAGGGAAAGCCCATGAATTCTCACAAAGAACTACAGGCAATTTGGAATGCTTAGGGCAGGAGAAATAGTCTTCTCCAGGGAAAAGCAGATCAACTGGTTATCCAATATCAAACAGTCAGCCTTGAAATCATACACATACAAGTAACATTATATACACTAAGTGGGTTTTACTTATGTATTTAGGAATAACTATACACACATAGACACACACACACACACACACACACACACACACACACATATATATATATAAACAACAGTTAATAAAAAATAAAGTAATAAATTTTCAAGAGAAAAGGAGTGGCATATGGGAAGGAATGCGGGAGACAAGGGAAAGGAGAAATGATGTAATTATAATCTCCAAAAATAAAAGAAATAATTACAAAAAGAGTGTAAGTATGGGAATAACTAGGCTGTTTCATATTCTAAGAGATGATAATCTGGATGAGGATAAGACCAGTTTTTTGAAAAGGAAGAGGTCAGATCTTATATGCATTTTAGAAGGAGACTCTATTGATCTTATTCATAAACTGGATATGAGTGTGAATTACAAAGAGAATCAGTTTGGGGATTGGGTGAGCCAAATGCAGATGGTTAAAAACACACTGTTTTTTCCTAAGAATAATCAAGATAATTTTAGAACATTTAACACTCGAAAACTCTGCTAAAGATGCAAGTCCAATGGGAGAGAAAGCAATTGGATATGGAGCAATTGGAGCTTAGAGAAGGCAGTCAGGCTAGAATTATAAATCAAGAAGACACAAATGATTTAAAGACCTAGAAAATACATACATTCCCTGGAGGAGGCATGTAGAGAGGAGAGGGCTATGAGCAGCTCAATAAGGTAAAAGAGAAGAGTCTGCTTTTGCTTAAGGACAAAGAACTATTAAATGATATCTAATGTTGCTGAGAGTCTATGGAACTCTCAAAAAATATTCACTAATTTTTGCAAAATGGAGACAAACTGGAGCTTTGATAAGGTCATTGATCAGAGAGTGTTTGGAGTGAAAGCAAATTTGGTCATGAATTAAAGGATATAAAAGAAAAAATTTTAAAAGTTTATAGAAAAAAACCATGAACAAACAGTAGAAGTTAGGAGAAAATTGAGTTGAAAATTAACTCATCTGTAGTGCGTGTGTGTGTGTGTGTGTGTGTGTGTGTGTGTGTGTGTGTGTGTATGCACATCTGGCAAAGAGATGACAACCTTGAGTGTCATTCTCTTGAATATCATCCATCTCCTTTGAAAAGTGTCTCTTGCCGGGCGGTAGTGGCACACGCCTTTAATCCCAGCACTCGGGAGGCAGAGCCAGGCGGATCTCTGTGAGGTCAAGGTCAGCTTGGAATACAGAGTGAGTTCCAGGAAAGGCACAAAGCTACACAGAGAAACCCTGTCTCAAAAAAACCAAAAACCAAAAACAAAACAAAACCAAAAAAAAGGTCTCTTATTGGCCTGGAGCTTACCGATTAAACTGACTAGTGAATGAACCCCAGGAATCCTCCTATCTCTATCTCCCTAAACCCACGATTACAAGCAGGCTATCATGCTCAGTATTTTTACAGTTTTCTGGGGATTGACCTCAGGTACTCATGCTTGTAAAGCAAGCACTCTATTGACTGAGCTATCTCATCATGCTGGACTGTTCTTCTTTTTTTTTTTTTTAATTTGAAGAACTAATTATGGGACAGTCCATTCAGGAGAGGAAAACCAATGATGCAAGAAGGGAGGAAGAGCCAACTGACACACACATTCAGACATTTTGGGAAGACACTCAGGATTATCTACACAAGGACAGTGGGTTTAGTTGACAAAGACAGTCGTGCCTGGTTCTGAGATGAGAACACATGCAGGGGTCCAGGAGAGTGCAGATCTGGCAGTGAAAACGTGAGAAAGCCCGGAGTTGATCCCATCTACTGTTTCAGTGAGGGGATGGTTAAGACCTTCCAGTGTGGAAGAAGCAGGACATAGAAACTGTCTCTGCAGGTGGGAAAGCAAGTTCCTTGGAGAAACACATCTCTTTACCAAGGCACAGTCCAGCTCATCACTAAGATGCGATGTGGAAGCTCCTCAATTCGATTCTGTGTGTTTCTTCACTAATGTCCAAAAGCATTCGGAAAGATACAGAAGAAATCAGATTATTTTTTGCTTTGAATTATTAGTAACTAGTACATATTTTATTTTCCTCTATATAAACAATGAGGAAAGTGATGAAGATTCATAGCTCAGTTCCCCATAGCACATACTTTGTTATAATCCATAAATAAACTTACCAATACAATTGGAAATGAATGAATACTTTCTTGCTATTTTTATAAATTGGGTCAAGATTATATTTTATTTAGGAAAGTAAAATATCATTATTTTGGAAAAGAATGTAAAACAAGAATGTCAGATTTTATCAGACTTAAGCTGCTATTAAGTGTTACATATATTTTTTTCTGCCTTCCTTTGTCTCATAGAAGAGAACATGCCATATTTGAGGTTCCAAATAACATGCCAGAATGTAGACTCTCAAGAGTGGATACAAGGCATGTCAGCGAGGCTGAGTATTTTAGCCAGATGCCCAGTTGGAACATCATTGCTAAGGCACTAGATAGGATTGCTGAGTGGTGTGTTGAGTTTTTCATTGGAAATGCCAAATTGAATTGTAAAACAGCTGATATTGTGATGCCTGCTTGAAATGTGACCTGGAACTAATATTGATGTAGAAAATCTGCTTGTGTATCAGCAGCAATGTTAACACTTAAGATTTTTTCCCTGAAGGCTGGAGGAGTTGGTTTAGCTGGCGAAGAAATTGCTTTAAAAGTGTTAGGGCCTTGAATTCTGATTTCTAGCACTCCTATAAAAGCAGAGTGTGGCAGTAGACCTATAATCCTAAGGGGGAGGGGTCTCAAATATGTATATAAAGAGAAGAGTCATCAAGGTTCAAGTTGATATTCAAAATTTTGGTAACTTTTTAGTTAAATATTGGTCTAATTTACAGTAAGCATTATGGACTTTGGAAAACATTCTTTCCAGAGTTATTGTTTTGATAGTAACACACACACACACACACACACACACACACACGAACACACACACGCGCACACACACACACACACACAAACAGAGAAGGGGAGAGAGAGACAGAGACAGAGACATGGACAGACAGACATTTGTATACTATGTGCCATAAAATAGCTTGGAACTATGACTTGCCGCTTCTGCAAATGAAGATGGGCAGTTGTTAGTGCTTTAAAAAAAATAAAAATAAAAATAACTAAAAAAACCCAGCTTAAACAATTATCTCAAGTTCTCATTTACATGATGGCTTATTTTTAACCCAATAAAATAAAACAGAATAAATGAAGATACTGAAAAGTATTTGAGAGAATTATCTGTTTTCCCATCTCTACTTTTGTTGAGCAATAGAATACATTACAAATTACTTTGGTACTGCTAGTGAAAATTCATAATTTGCTTATGAAAATTATTATTATCTTATAATAACATACTTCATGTGTAATTATAAGCAGAGTTCTCTTCTCTGTTAATTTATAAACTGCATTTCTAATGAAAATAGAATTACATCACTTTACTGCTTCTCTTTCCTCCCTCTAGCCCCTCCCAGATATCCTCCTTCCAAACACTCCCCTGCCATTTCCCACTTTCAAAGTTGATACCCTCTTTTTCTTTGTTAATGTCACATACATACATACGCATGTATGCACATATCTAAAAAACAACATGCTGACTCTGTTTCTGTTGTTTGTGTGTATATAGTTTCAGGGCTGAACACTTTATAATAGATAACGAATAAAGGCTCAGGACAGGCTAATTAGCCCTCTTCCAGCAGTCTTTAGCTGCCTATATTTCTTTTTTTTTTTGGGTGGGATCCCATAAAATTTCCATCCCTCCACATAAGCATGTCTATTGACTTTGCCATTGTTCTAGTTCTGTTCATTCAGCGATTTCTAGGAGAGACTGTTCATAGCAGGCTTCCTGATCATCTGGCTCAGGGAGCATCTTGGAAGGGAAGCCAGAAATACTGCAAGTTGAGTTCTTGCATATATACATAAATCAAAATTTCATAACTCATTCAAATTTTATTGAGAATATTGAAAGCAATGCAGTATGGTTAGAGATGTAATCAACAAGAAATATAATGTATATAAAGGGGTGGTTGACATATGTAGACAGTGGTCAGTGACAACCTTGCTGAAGATGTAACAGCTGAGCAGAAATATGAAAGGGCAAAAAACAAGAAAGAAAAAAGAAAGGAAGACAGTCCATGAAATGGTCTGGTGGAGAATGTTCCAAGTAGAAGCAGAGTCTTTCTCTTGAAAATTTTTTAGGGATCCACATTTTAGTGGGATTCTGGGAGACTTCAAAGTACTGTTATTTTGTAATCAAAGAATATACTCATCTGTTTGTGTTGGGTGATGCAAATGATGGGACAGATTTATGGAAAATGGTGGTGGTGAAGCCAGCGTCTAATATCGAATGAATATAATTTCTTGCAAATTCACGATTCCCAAGGTAGGAATCTATCACCTCCAATGGAGTTCAGGAAGTAGTACCTGAGTGGTAAGAAAAGAAAGGAAATCAGAGCAAGAAGGAGACACACCAGACCATGTGGAAAGGTGTAAGAAAGACAAATTAGGATGTTTTCTATCTCAAGTGTGGAGGGGAGCCAGTGGAGAATGTCAACAGAGGAGTAATACAACTTACTATCTATTTCTTCTAGTTTTCAGATAATGGATTAAAGGAGGGCCAAAGAGGAAGCAAAGCTATCTGTTTGGGATGATTGTGCTAACCGGAGTGGGAAATGATGGTAGTTTATATCCATCATGGGTGGTGGAAGTTGTAAGAGAGTAGGTTGGTAGCGTAGGTTCTTGTAGGTAGGTAGTCAAAACTTGCAATGGGAGTGATGATAAAGGAAAGAGGTTCTTCAATGAAATTAATGAAAAATGTCAGAGTGTAATTATTTAATTAGCATTTAACACTACTGCATATATAGTTAAATTTCACAGTATCAAATTATATTGTTTCTTAGTTTATAGAAATTGAGGACAAGTGAAGTACTCCCATTGAGTTATTAGTACTTACAGTTGAAAATAAATACTGTTGAGCATTAAGAGAGAAAAATTTAAGTTTATTAAAAGTAGTTTCCCATTGTTTTATTATTCATATGTGTCAACAGCAACCTTATGGTTTAAAAAGAATGGTTAAAAATACATTTATTAGTTTTTTGTGTGTGTATGTGCCTGGGCAAATATCCCACAGCATGTGTGTGGAGGTCAGAGACATCTTGCAGGAGATGGTTCTCATCTTTGTCATGTGGGTCCTGGGAATCAAGCTCAGGTCCTCATAATTTATATTAAGCACCTTTAATTGCTGAGCTGTCTCATCAGCCAATATGTTATGTGTTCACAATTTATAATCCCTAGGAAGTTTGATGGTTTCTGAATTTTTGATGTTTTATGTGATCTTCAACTAAAGACATGAAGCAATTAGGTTTTGTGTTACGAAAGTAAGCATCGTAAATCTCTTTTAATAGTGCTAGCAGTTTGCACAGCACTTATTTCTCAGTTATGTTTACTTTGTACAACAACTGTGGGAAATGTGTGATCAACTGAGAATGTTGAGATTTGGGATAAATGACTTGCGCAAAACTGAGTCAATAAAAATCATAGAATCTGATCTAAAACCCATAACTTCCAGCTCTGAATTAAAGTTATCTTCTGGATGTCATAATTAAACACATAAAAAATGCTAAACTATGATCTAATTGATAATTCATTGTATCTACTAGAATGTCTATACCTCTAATACATGTTAATGCCACTAAGTAAATATCATTTCATAAGAAATACAGATCTAACATGAACTATTTAGGGAAATAAAAGAAACAATTTGAATAAGGAGTTCTCTAGAAAAAAAAAACCTTGGAACTATAGGATTCCTAGCATTTGTGGGTAACACATAAAATAAAAAAGTGAAAGGCCTTTGAATGAAATAAAAATAAAGAGACATAATGATGAATACTGCAGCAGTACAGAAGGCATCACTAACTATTCACTTAAGGGTTGCCTCTTCTAGTGTCTAGACTCTGCCAAAAAGAGAGGCAAAGAAAATGTGTTGAATAATTGATAATCCAATTGACGTTTGCCCATGCTTTCTATCAGTGACATTTTTCTCAGGGAACTAATAACATCCATTTAACACAGACCTTAGCTAGTGCTTTGCTGTATGGTATGAAGAAAGCTGAAGGCCTGGTCTCAGTGCCCCAAAAAACTGTTTCATATATTGAACACATTTTACTGCAAGTTAGTCTTAATCTTTGCTCATTTGTATTAAATAAAACTTAATTTACTCCTTATCATTTCCTCAAACTAATAAATAAGCAGAAATAGAGAAAGTTGTTGCCTGTGGTGTGTTTAGTTAATGAAAAAAGTCAAGAGGGAAATTATTTTATGAGAACTCCATGGAAACAAATGTTTGTCAAAAGGAAAATGATGCATTTTATCATTTTTTCCTTCAGGATAATTTGAGTAGAAGCTCTCAGTCTATTTCTGATCAAAGCTTGAACTTTGAGCCACTGTGGTAGTAATTTAGATTTACTAATTTTTTTGTCTAGGTTTATCATTTTATAAACCATAGGTAAAATACCATTTTTTAAAATGATCTAACTAGATTTCTATTTGAAACAATGTCTCTTGGAAAGGAACCACAATGTTGTGTTTTATGTATTCTAATGCACAGATATTTTAAAGTCTTAATTAAAATTGTTTGTTCTTTGTTTGAGTTGAGAGAGTCATAGAGGGTAGAAGAGAATTATTCCCAGTTGCCTCGGTGGGTATGCATCTACAGCCCCAGAATAGCTAAGTTTATATTTCACACTGAAGCTTGAAGCTACTAGGCTGTTTGCTTGTGTGTTGACTCACAGAGAGGTTCATTAATAGTACCTGCTACTCCCATTCACAAATCAATGAAGACTGCATAGCTTATGTAACCTTAATGCCTTCTGTTTGCACTGGGAGGATGGAGCATTTACACAGTACTTTACTCCCTCTGGGGAGAAAAAGCTGCTTCCACTAGTGGCCACATCAATCTCTAAATGATCTGTAATGGAATTTCCTGTGATATTTTCAAGCATAACTGATATTTAGATGTGGATTTAATTGTCAGTTATTTATTGCTGTATCCAAGGAGTTTTCCCTCATGGGATATGAAAGATTTGGTTTAAACTTTACATATTCTTTGTGCAGAACACGCTTACTTGACGGAAAACTGTGCAGTGTGTAAGTATTCTATTTGAGCAGGGAACAAAGGCTGAGGTTGTGGGTAAAGCCTCCTGTAGAACTTCAGTTGAAAGACTTCATGCCAGTCTTTGAAGTATTGTGTGTCATGGGGACCAGTCTGATCCACGGGAATATAACTAGGATTCTGTTCTTTCTTTGCTGTCAGAGGGAGGTCATGGGTTTTCCCCGCAAGGAGCCTTGTGAAGTCCTCCCTGGCCTAAGGCCATGCTTTCTCCCCCTTGCATCCTTTGAGAGTTGTTGGTCCTGAAGATGAACAAAAACCTCCAATTAAGAGCTGTTATCTTTCTCTTTTGTAATGGCAGGTCGAAATCAAGATTTGATTTCTGCAAAAGGTGTTCTCAAAGTCTTCTCTGGCTACTAAGTGGAAAGTTAGTAAACTACAGACATTTATTTCTTATGATTCTGGAAGCTGACAAATCCAAGATAAAATCATCAGCAGATTCAATATCTCTTGAGAGTCCATTTCTCTCCCCAGGAATGGGGGCACCATCTTGTTGCATCCTCACATTGCGTAAGGAAGTAAGGGGAATCTCTGAGGTCTCCTCTATAATTATAAATCATAGTCAAAATTTCACCCACATGACATTAAGACCTTTTAAGAGTGCCACCTATCAATCCCATAAACGTGGGTGTCAGATATCAAAATGTAAATTTTGAGGGAACATAAAACCACAGTCTTCTTTCTGTCTCTTCTTTCTTTAAAAGGAAATAGGAAAGGATATTTTTTTTCCTGATTCTTAGCTTGTGTAAGTTGATAAACACAAGACCTACCAGGGTGACAAAGACAGTCTGTCATTCCTGGGCTTATTGGCAGAGCAGAAAGACAAACCCAATAGTAAAGACATTTCTAAAGGAATATTAAGGTCCATAGAAAAGTTAATGTGTGGATGGCTTGTTCAGTTATTATTCCATTTACTTAAGTGTGGTTATGATAGGTATAACATTGGCCAGAGTCCATACTGAAAGAGACTTACAGACAGGGCCCCTTCTGCTTGGTATCTATGTGATCTCTAGTGCCTTTGTCTCCTAGTTCAGGGACCCCTGTCTCAAAAGAAAGATTTAACTTAATATACGATGATAGTTATAATGGCTAGTGAGGTGGCTCAGTTTAACAAAGCCATTGTTGCTAAGCTTGATGGCTTGAATCGATCCCTGGGACTCATGCAGTAGAACAGAACCATTCTACTATAGTCTTAGATAACTGTGCCTTTGTCTAGAATGCCCTTCCTCCTGATCTTCCTCTTCAACTCTTCATGGTTTATGCATCAAAGACTAACTTGTCAAAGAGACATATTTTGCTCATCAAAGTAAAAAGAGGACATGATTTGTTTCCTTTTACATATTTAGTATCAAGAAACCTGATTAACTTATTATAAACATTCAGTAATTTAAATGAATAATGAAGTCTGTGGTAGTCACTATTGCCTAGATAGAAGTAATTGTTTGACTTCTGTATAGTCGATATGCAATATGACTTGTTGGACCTCAAAAATCATGAACAAAGGTCATGTGTCATTCTGAGTCAGCACATTTAATACCAGTGTAGGAAACCTCATAGCACTTTTTCCTTCTGTCATGTGAGTACTATATCCAAAATGAAATAAAAATAATGATGACATGACAGTAATCTACATAGACTGATGACATTAACAAGAAAAAGTAGTTTCTTGTTTAAAGGGGGAAGAAAGTATGAAAAGGCTGCTCCTTCGTGTTATGTATTTGATCCTTGTGATAATTCATCAGCAATTAAGACTGGTAGGCCTGACTTAACGATTCTCAGGCAAAGTATGCTTGCCTGGGTGTGACATGGAGGAGGATGATAGGTAGGTTTAATTAGAGTTGGGGTTCTGCCAAGAAAGTAAGATGGAGTATGAGACACATGAAAGAAGCAATTGCAGGAGAGTGACAGATGATGAACTCTACATTTGGTACCTAGAAGAATGCTGATATGAAAGGGCAGCAAAGAGAGCTGAATGCACAGACAGTGTTACTGTTTTGGTTAAGAAGCCTAGATCTGAAGTATAGTCATGGGCACAAATAATTAACTCTAAAACACTGTAATATATCCTATCTTTAGATGAGTTTAGAGTTTAAGGGGATAATTAATTTTATCTGAGGGCAGGGGCTAAGGAATATGTCTTACATACACTTACCACTCTGAAAGAATTATACCAAAGTCTCAGCACAGAGGTGGCCCTTTTACTAAACAGGCTATAAGTAGCTTAGAATTTGAAGAGCTGGGCTCATACTGTTGAGGACTTAAGCTTATCATTTTTACCACTTTATTTGTAATATAAACAGATATTATTGGAGTTTGGGCACTTAGAGACCCTCTTAAACCTTCCCAGGCTCTCAAAAACTAACTGAGGTGATGAAATAGTTCTGTTGGATGTGAGATGTAGGGGACAAACACTGAAAAATGTTAATGATGTCATTTGAAAACCTGGAAGAAATAGCAATGTCTTTGTTAAGACAGCCTGTCTGGAAGAAATAGCTGTCCTTGGGAAATGGGAATGGAAAACTAGCACACTGTGGGGCTGAGTGTGAATATAGAGTTGATGTGCTTGGACTGGAAATGTAGGCTGGATGACAAGAGGAAGGTATCCATAGTTGGATACCTCATTCATCAAGATGCATTTTTGTTGAAACGTGCAACTGTATTGTAGGCTTTAAACTACCACACTCTTCCATTCTCAAATGTTATCCTTTGCTGCTTAGCCATCTTGACAAACATTATTCCATAAAGCCTCCTGTAGACTTAAGTTAGGAATATGATGGACAGAAACTTTTTCCAGAGGAGGTTAGTACTTACCATTGTGTTTCTCTGAATTTTCCCATGGCTTGGTGTTACCTTCTCCAGCAGGTTTACTGGCAGCAGCAGAGTCACTGAGGACACTGCATGTGGAATCCTGAGTTTTGGCTTAAATCATATTCTGTTTATTTAAGCTTGATGGATCAGGACAAGACATTTTCTTAAACCATTTTCCTCCACCAGTGGAATAAGGATTGTAGTCCGTAGCCTAAAATTTTATTAGCAGCATTATGGAAATCATATAATAGAGTTTTTCATGTGGACAACCAATCTTCTCCAAATAGTTGTGATGACTTATTTTCATGTGTCAAGTTACCTAGGCTGTGCGGCTCAGACATCAAGATAAGCATTATTTTAAATGCTTCTGTGGAGGTATTTATAGCTGATATTAATACACGCATCAGTAGCCTGGGTAATCTGATTACTCTCTAAAGTGTCATCTCACCAGTTCCTTGGAAGACTGCAATAGAAAACTGACCAGGGAGAAGAAGGACTTCTCGCTGCAGACTGCCTTCAACTCCAAGTTCAATTATTCTCTGCACCTGTAGCCTCTGGACTAATCATGGGGTCTTTGTCTTTAGTCTACACTCTTGTGTACACAGTTGTGTGGGACATTCCCTTAAGTTCTCATTCATATCCCCATTGTCTCTTTGTAATCTCTTTCCTTCTCTCTCCCCTCCTTTTGTCACATGCATGAGCACATGTGTGTGTGCACTTGCACACATGTGTGCACAAACACACACAGACAGTTTTCATTCTTTCAAGTCATTTTCGTGGGAGAACCACTCTAATAAGCTAATTCAAGTAGAAAGCTAACAGAACTGCTAAAATATAAGGGAACTGATTTTGGATCATGCATACATGAGAACAATGAACTTAGAAGCAATTTCTAATTACAATTCTTAATAAATTTCTAATTGCAAAGGAACTGAAACTTTACCGGTTAGTTTCCTAGCATTTACTGTAGAGGATGCTCAGATTACTGCCATGGGCTTGAGAGAACCTTTCTGCTGTGACGGAGGGAAAGTAGTCGACATTGTTGACACTAGTAGAGGTGTGCCATGGGACTATGGGTTTGTATACTTCTTTGTATTTTTAAAGTTACTTCCCACATCCCAGTCACAAACTACAGTGCGACTCCTCACTTTTTCCTTCTATGCACTTCCCTGTCTCCCTTAAGTATTCTGCTATCATTATTTAAAATTTACCCCTAAAGTTACTCTTGAGTCAATATCCGGGTGGTATGTTTATTGTTTTTATTATGATACTTGTGACAAATGTTTGGTTTATTTATACTTTTTAAGTTTTGGGTTAATTGATTAAAGTGTGGAATAAATGCATGCAGTTACTTTTACAGCATCCTGTCTCATGGAGAGGTATATTGGTAAGCTTGGTAACTACAAAAACATGGATGAGAATACATTTTGATTAAATGAAAATTCAGAACATGGTATTCAAGTTCTATTTCAAAATTGGAACTAACTTGGTATTTTTTATGGGTAAATATTTTCTGGTTTGTTTGTTTTCTTCAGTAAGCTTGTTGATATAATGAAGTATTAGGGAGGTACTAGAAGGGATAAAGATTATATCGTAATAACTCATGTCCAACATTACCACATCTTCCTTCCATTGCTTGACAGACAATATCCTAAGTATTTTACGTATGGATTTGACTTTTTTTCTCACCAGAGATTTGAAATCTAGGTGAAATGTGTCACCTAACGGATGGGTAAATGGAAGCAGCTTTAGCTTATGCACCCTGTACAAGGCCAGGGTTATAACAGGTCTAGAGCCTAGACATAAAGTTCTGTAGAAGGGTTCTCCTAGCCAATGGATTCTTTTTCAAAAAAGGACTTATTTTACTTATGTGTACATGTCTCTGTGTGGGGATATGCACATGAATTCAAGTACCCATGTAGGTCAGAAGTGGGTATTAGATCCATTGGCGCTGGAGTACAGATAAGTTGTGAGTCAACCAATATGGGTGCTAGGAACTGGGTCCTCTGCAAAAGCAGCATTTGCTCTAACCACTGGGCAATCTAGCCAGGTTCTGACTAATGCATTAGAACCATTGTTTATGCTTAGACTCTGTTATCACTGAATTTCCTTTGGTTTCTTATGTATGTGCTCCACTTTCTTTGGTAGGACAAGTAAGAATTGCCAGAACAGTTTCTCAAAATTCCCATTTATAATCCATGTGTGAATACTGCTTGTCAAAACTCCCCTCCCTCCTCCCCCTCTTCTCTTCTTCTCCCCTCTATTCCTTCCTTTTCTCCTTCTTCCCCCAATCTTCTCTTTCCTTTCCCAGTCACAGTTTCTTAGCCTTTGTCCCTTTGCTCCTGGACAATGAGGGCTTTCTGACTCCATGAATCCTGGATTCCAGATTTAGAAAAAAGTTTAAATGTTCTTGGAAGTACAAGAGTAGTTATTTTTTAAAGGAAAAAGTCAAGACAAAACCTTTCTGTGTGGATCTAAATTTTCATTAATATTAAATACGTATCACATACCTAGGCTTGTGTGAGATATATGAAATCTATAAAATATGCTTAAAATAGCAACAATAATTACAAACTAGAATAAAATGACACCAAAACAGAGTGTTATTTTCATTTTCTCTAATGGATCTCTTGTTTTTCAGTTCCAGTGACACTGGACTTCAGAATGAAAGCCCATATAACTAAAAATGAGCTGCAACACTATTTAAATTGGTCTCCTTTCTCTTAGTCCTGGGAGATTAATTATCTGTCATTTTCTTTGAGAAGATTACCTTCTTCTGACATTCCCAACAGAAGGAGTTTAACAATAAGGATAGAAATTCTTCCACGACAGCACTGTAGACTCTCCTTATAACTCTATGGATGTTTGAAATACTGGCACACAAGGTTTTTCAGGAAGAATGAGAGTGAGAAAGAACAGCAGCCTGAAGGAATGCATTTGCTGCTTACAGTGCAGTGGGCAGCCTGGAAATTAAAGTTCTTGAAGCTCTTTGTTAAGACAGAATCTTCACTGGGGAATGTTGAAGGAAATAGGCTCATCCCCAAGAGCTCTATTCTGTAGCTGGTCTGGTGCAGTGGACCCACACAACACTCAGCCATGCTGAACAATATGCTGGGTGCTTGCCCATCCTTTGAGCTGCATTTTCTTACCTCTGGGAGAGAAGAGACTTTCACTTGTACTCTCTGTTCTTTCTGGAGTTCACATCCCCATTTGTTACCTGTGATTCAACAGCAAGTATGTCTGTTAACTGTAAAAACATATGGAATGATAGTGTGAGGGAGAAGGTAGAGAGGAAGGATAAAGAAGACACTTGTCACGTTTTGAAAAAACAAAGGTTTAGAACATTTTGAATTTCATCCAAGAAGATTCCACATGTTGAGTGTTAAAGTACTGAATTCTTAAATAATTCTTTAAAATATTTCTAATTTCATTCTCACGGTAGGGAATGATGAGCTTGTCCTGTTTGTTTTTTGTTTTAAGATTTATTTATTCATTATGTATACCGTGTTCTGTTTGTATGTATGTCTGCACACCAAAAGGGGGAACCAGATCTCACTATAGATGGTTGTGAGCCACCATGTGGTTGCTGGGAATTGAACTCAGGACCTCTAGAAGAGCAGTCAGTGCTCTTAACCTCTGAGCCATTTCTCCAGCCCGCTTGTCCTGTTTTATCTGATAAAAAAAATGGGGGAAAATGGTCAGGTGTCTTGGTCAAGAGCTATACAAAATAAACCCAAGATCTTTTAAGATTCTAGGGTCCAGTACTGATCTGTCCACTTGTTTATTTGTATACTGTAATACCTTAATCGTGGTAGTTAGGACTCCTGGTACTATGCTGTCTAACTCTAATTTCTGAAATCCTGTCTAAATGACTTCTAAGTATGATCTTTATTCATTCTTTAATTGAAACCAAGCTGTTTTCAACATAACCCCTGAAGATCCTGTTTTGTGACAAGTAATCTTATCTGCTGCTGAAAGTGTGAATAAATTTTAACACCTCTTGAGTCATAGTGGATTCACCATGGGCTTGTGTGTGTGTATTTACTACTATCTCATGGTTATAACTGCTTGCTACAAATATCTGGTTTGAGAGGGAATATTACATCTTATCTCTTTTCACGTTCTCTGCCTTTCACAGATTGTTTTCTGCACTCAGGATAGATTATTAAGAGGGGGTATCTGTATGGAGGTGAACTGTTTGAAACTGTTACTTTCTTATGTTAGTTTCTTGAGAACCTATCCTCTTCTCAACGGGATGATAAATTTCTGGAAGTATACCTACTCCTTTTGTTGATATTGTCACCAACTTTGCTACTTTTAGGAACTGAGGTAATTTTTCATAACAATAAAGTTATGCAAAATTGAATTGAATGCTATTTTTATTGTAATTTAATTTATATATACAAATACATGTACATGCACATATTTAAACTTCAAATTCATTTTTTCCTTATTCTGAATGCTGTACTATAAAATAATTTCAGATACATATATGTTATTTAATTTATGCAAAGGTAGAAATTGCTGTAAATTTTACTTTGTATACACAGGATTTCAATGATGTGTAGTCAGGTAAATAATTTTTTGTAATAAATGTTATTTCAAGATGGATAACTAAACTTTCAGATTAACAATTCGTGTTTTATTCTGTCCTAATATAGCTACATCTGTGATTAGTCAGAGTTTACCTGTCAGTTTTTGATGAGAGTTACAGAGTTACAGGGAAAAGAACTCAAAGTAGAAATGGTTAAAATTGCCATGATGTACATTTCTGTGTATGTTAGAAAGTGTCAGTCAGGTGGCACTGGGTTTGATGAATGGATACATTTTCATATGAATGGTTTTGACAAGAATTCCTTGACGAAGAAATATAAATTGTAAAAGTGCTACTTGGGTATAAGGACACATGTTTACAGATTGTAGTTAGGGATTATGCTGGTTTAGTAGATTATTGTTTGTATATTCTCCTCACCTCTCTCATCAAGGATAATTCTCTTTGTTACAGAGAGAGACCGACTACACAAAACCACAACCAACCAAAATGCAAAGTTGTGGGGACCAGGCACAATGATACATCTACAAAACAACTCCTGCACCTTAGGCCCTGAGAGCATTTTGAAAATGGGCATAAAAAGACTCTAAGAGCCAGAGGATTAAAAAGTTTGCTGTGAAATTATATCTTCTAGCAACATCAGAAGCTACACTCGCACCAACCTTCCAGCCAAATATGAGCTGAACAAGGAAAACACCAATGGACATGCCAAACTGGATTGGGAAAATCCCTTGAGACCTCAGCCCTATACAAAGAACTATAGACATCTGAGTCAAGCTGGAAATAGGAGCGGTGGGCCACCCTGGGAAAAAGCACATCAATTGGTTTCCAATGCCAAATGGTCAGCCATTAAAAACATGCATGCAAAAATAGTATATCAACTCAATGGGTTATATTTAACAATGTGTGTGTGTGTGTGTGTGTGTGTGTGTGTGTATGTGTGTGTGTGTGTGTGTGCAAATACATATATCCATTCAATGACAATTATTTAAAAAAAGAGAGCATGAATTTGAAAGAGAGTGGGGAGGTATATGGGAGGATTTGGAGGGAGAAAGGGTAAGGGAGAAAAGATGTAATTAAATTACAATCTCAAAAATAAACAAAAATGCTATTTGGTTACTGAGAGAGGGCGGATTACTCTTCCACAGGAATGAGCCCCTAATTAGTGATCCAATATCAATGGTGAGTCCTAAACATGTATACATACATGTAACCCTAAGTGGCCTCAGCAGGTTATACTTACGTATTTGTGTATGTGTGTGTGTGTGTGTGTGTGTGTGTGTGTGTGTGTGTGTGTGTATGTGTGTGTGTGTGTGTGTGTGTGTTTTAACAATAATGATTAAGGAAAAAGAGTCTGAGTTTGAGAGGATGAGGTTGTAATGTAGAAAGTGAGGGAAGAGAGTAAGAAGGGGAATCATGTAAATACAGTACATACGCATATATAAGAATTCAAAAATGCTACTTGGATATATAAGATTTCCCAACTAGTTCCTTTACCCTATTTTTATAAACTTCTGAAAAACAATCCTACCCCTACAATAAAAACTATGTTGTGGAGGCACTGTAAATAAATACCTAAGGACAAAGGTATAAACTAGGCAAGGTTTCCCAAAACAAGACAAAGGTGTTACCTCCAGAAGTTATGTGGACATTTTAACTTTATGTAGAGAGAAAGCATCTATTACCGGCCTCATCTATTAAATGTTCTATTCTTTGTGACATTTGTATTTAAACTGCTTGTATATTAAAAGATCTTTTTTTACAAAATGTCATCTTATCAGTGAAACACAGCAACTGTAATTATGAACTCCTAGGAGCTGTAGGTTTCTGAATTAGTTATACACAGGAGTAGTAGTTAGTATGCATGGATTAGTGGCTTAGGAGTCCCCACCCTCTAAACAATTTGCTACTGATAGATTTAAGGAAAGGGGAATCATTGCCTTCAATCCTGTTCCTACTAATGACTCCATCAAGCTTCAATAGTTAGTTCCAATCCATTTCTCACACAGACAGCCATGGTAAACTAACTCTTAAAACAAAACCAAAAGTTAGGAATCTGGTAAAGAGACTTCTGGATATGAGGAGGTGTTGATTGGCACCAGAGAGAGATAAAAGAGGGAGGGGAATTAGTAATCAGAATGCATTAGTTACAAGTATGAAGCTGTCAAAGATCAAACTGAATTAAGAAAAACATTTCCAAAAGTATTTTTGAGTGTGCAATCATGATAAATCTGTATTTATTAAAATGCCCCGAAGAACAGTACAAATTCTCAATTCCCAAATTCTCAAATTCCAAACTACTTCAGAGACACTGTAAGTGAAAAAATGGGCCATGATGTGAGAGGTGGGTTGGACTTCTCAGTTCTGTGATTTTTGAGCTATTAAAATCTCTGCATAGTAGCTTTCTCACCTACAAACTGATGGCAATAAGGGCATGAGTATTATGGGGTTAACTAACTGCTTTATGATTGGCTATAAGACCCTCTTCTAGCACTGTTAACTAGACCAAGAACCCATGGATGGGTAAAGCTTGACCTAGGGATCACCTGCTACCTACTCTTATGCTGCTAAATAGACTTAGTATCCAACTGCTCTCTAAATAATTATCTGAGTATCTACAGATCAGTGTAGCTCTTAACTCTCACCAGAGAAGCATCTTTATGCAATATGAAGATCCCCAAACTGGACAAATTGTGGAGAATAAGAGATTGTGGATGGCTCAGCTCTAAATAGGAAATCTATATCGCATCCTCCCCTCTGAAGGCTCAGGGGTCCTAGCAGAAGAGGAAGCAGCAAGACTGGAAGAGCCAGAGACTTCAGGGGACCCCTCTAAACTGAACTTTCCAAACACGACTGGCCTGTTGCTCACAGAGTTCACAGCAACTACAGGTGCATGTGCAAGTTCTAGTACAAGATCAAAGAAGTCCAAATTCAGCACAAACAGGGGCGGGGTCATCCCTATCTGAAGGCTACTGCTTGGGGCAGAGTTAGTATGCAGGGTTAATGTTCACATGATGTATGGTACTATGAGTTCTAAAGTTCCTTATTTCTGAATCAGAAATCTTTTTTTTTCTGCTACCAGAGTCTATAGTACAGTAGGGACGGTAATAGGTTAATTTATTAGCTTCTAAGGAGAGTAAAATGAAATCCCAGACATGATAGAATGAAATGAACTTTCTGTCTGAACCCTAGCCTAAGTATTACAGTCATTGAAAACTACTGTTTTCTAGTCCTTTCTAAGAAAAGCCCCCCTGCCTCCCAACTCCTTGCCAAACAGGATACCTGCACACTGATCTATTATGTAGGTCAATTCTTATCATTTTTAACTTACACATTTTATGATTCTGTAAATGATACATTGGAAGTTAGGTTAAGTATTGTATTATACTCAGACATTTTGAAAAATAATTTAGCCAAATAATGGGTTCACAACTGAAAATCCTTAAATTATGTCATGTAGAGATTGTATTGCATAGAATGCGAATAGCTGAGGTTTTGAGTAGATTTATTTCTGTACAAATTCTCCTTTCCCAAAGGCCTTGCTCCTCTTACAGAGAATTGGGCAGTTATGCTTGAAAGAAAATAAACACGAGCAACTTCAAATCTTAAGGTGAATTGCCTGAGTGCTTCCTCGTTGCAGTTCATGTGTGGTCTCACTCCCCTGCTCTCCACCACCCATTGGTCAATCAATTACA